AGCAATGTTGTTTCTGGGTGTTGTATACATAATATTAGATCCAGGGGAGCAATGTTATATCTGGGTGTTGTATACATAATATTAGATCCAGGGGAGTAATGTTATATCTGGGTGTTGTATACATAATATTAGATCCAGGGGAGTAATGTTGTTTCTGGGTGTTGTATACATAATATTAGATCCAGGGGAGCAATGTTGTTTCTGGGTGTTGTATACATAATATTAGATCCAGGGGAGTAATGTTGTTTCTGGGTGTTGTATACATAATATTAGATCCAGGGGAGCAATGTTGTTTCTGGGTGTTGTATACATAATATTAGATCCAGGGGAGTAATGTTGTTTCTGGGTGTTGTATACATAATATTAGATCCAGGGGAGCAATGTTGTTTCTGGGTGTTGTATACATAATATTAGATCCAGGGGAGTAATGTTGTTTCTGGGTGTTGTATACATAATATTAGATCCAGGGGAGCAATGTTGTTTCTGGGTGTTGTATACATAATATTAGATCCAGGGGAGTAATGTTGTTTCTGGGTGTTGTATACATAATATTAGATCCAGGGGAGCAATGTTGTTTCTGGGTGTTGTATACATAATATTAGATCCAGGGGAGCAATGTTGTTTCTGGGTGTTGTATACATAATATTAGATCCAGGGGAGCAATGTTGTTTCTGGGTGTTGTATACATAATATTAGATCCAGGGGAGCAATGTTGTTTCTGGGTGTTGTATACATAATATTAGATCCAGGGGAGCAATGTTGTTTCTGGGTGTTGTATACATAATATTAGATCCAGGGGAGCAATGTTGTTTCTGGGTGTTGTATACATAATATTAGATCCAGGGGAGCAATGTTGTTTCTGGGTGTTGTATACATAATATTAGATCCAGGGGAGCAATGTTGTTTCTGGGTGTTGTATACATAATATTAGATCCAGGGGAGCAATGTTGTTTCTGGGTGTTGTATACATAATATTAGATCCAGGGGAGCAATGTTGTTTCTGGGTGTTGTATACATAATATTAGATCCAGGGGAGTAATGTTGTTTCTGGGTGTTGTATACATAATATTAGATCCAGGGGAGCAATGTTGTTTCTGGGTGTTGTATACATAATATTAGATCCAGGGGAGCAATGTTGTTTCTGGGTGTTGTATACATAATATTAGATCCAGGGGAGCAATGTTGTTTCTGGGTGTTGTATACATAATATTAGATCCAGGGGAGCAATGTTGTTTCTGGGTGTTGTATACATAATATTAGATCCAGGGGAGTAATGTTGTTTCTGGGTGTTGTATACATAATATTAGATCCAGGGGAGCAATGTTGTTTCTGGGTGTTGTATACATAATATTAGATCCAGGGGAGCAATGTTGTTTCTGGGTGTTGTATACATAATATTAGATCCAGGGGAGCAATGTTGTTTCTGGGTGTTGTATACATAATATTAGATCCAGGGGAGCAATGTTGTTTCTGGGTGTTGTATACATAATATTAGATCCAGGGGAGCAATGTTATATCTGGGTGTTGTATACATAATATTAGATCCAGGGGAGCAATGTTGTTTCTGGGTGTTGTATACATAATATTAGATCCAGGGGAGTAATGTTGTTTCTGGGTGTTGTATACATAATATTAGATCCAGGGGAGCAATGTTGTTTCTGGGTGTTGTATACATAATATTAGATCCAGGGGAGCAATGTTGTTTCTGGGTGTTGTATACATAATATTAGATCCAGGGGAGCAATGTTGTTTCTGGGTGTTGTATACATAATATTAGATCCAGGGGAGCAATGTTGTTTCTGGGTGTTGTATACATAATATTAGATCCAGGGGAGCAATGTTGTTTCTGGGTGTTGTATACATAATATTAGATCCAGGGGAGCAATGTTGTTTCTGGGTGTTGTATACATAATATTAGATCCAGGGGAGCAATGTTGTTTCTGGGTGTTGTATACATAATATTAGATCCAGGGGAGCAATGTTGTTTCTGGGTGTTGTATACATAATATTAGATCCAGGGGAGCAATGTTGTTTCTGGGTGTTGTATACATAATATTAGATCCAGGGGAGCAATGTTGTTTCTGGGTGTTGTATACATAATATTAGATCCAGGGGAGCAATGTTGTTTCTGGGTGTTGTATACATAATATTAGATCCAGGGGAGCAATGTTGTTTCTGGGTGTTGTATACATAATATTAGATCCAGGGGAGCAATGTTGTTTCTGGGTGTTGTATACATAATATTAGATCCAGGGGAGCAATGTTGTTTCTGGGTGTTGTATACATAATATTAGATCCAGGGGAGCAATGTTGTTTCTGGGTGTTGTATACATAATATTAGATCCAGGGGAGCAATGTTGTTTCTGGGTGTTGTATACATAATATTAGATCCAGGGGAGCAATGTTGTTTCTGGGTGTTGTATACATAATATTAGATCCAGGGGAGCAATGTTGTTTCTGGGTGTTGTATACATAATATTAGATCCAGGGGAGCAATGTTGTTTCTGAGTGTTGTATACATAATATTAGATCCAGGGGAGCAATGTTATATCTGGGTGCTGTATACATAATATTAGATCCAGGGGAGCAATGTTGTTTCTGGGTGTTGTATACATAATATTAGATCCAGGGGAGTAATGTTGTTTCTGGGTGTTGTATACATAATATTAGATCCAGGGGAGCAATGTTATTTCTGGGTGTTGTATACATAATATTAGATCCAGGGGAGCAATGTTATATCTGGGTGTTGTATACATAATATTAGATCCAGGGGAGTAATGTTATATCTGGGTGCTGTATACATAATATTAGATCAAGGGGAGTAATGTTGTTTCTGGGTGTTGTATACATAATATTAGATCAAGGGGAGTAATGTTGTTTCTGGGTGTTGTATACATAATATTAGATCAAGGGGAGTAATGTTATATCTGGGTGCTGTATACATAATATCAGATCAAGGGGAGTAATGTTGTTTCTGGGTGTTGTATACATAATATTAGATCCAGGGGAGTAATGTTGTTTCTGGGTGCTGTATACATAATATCAGATCAAGGGGAGTAATGTTATATCTGGGTGCTGTATACATAATATCAGATCAAGGGGAGTAATGTTGTTTCTGGGTGTTGTATACATTATATTAGATCCAGGGGAGTAATGTTGTTTCTGGGTGTTGTATACATAATATTAGATCAAGGGGAGTAATGCTGTTTCTGGGTGGTGTATACATAATATTAGATCCAGGGGAGCAATGTTGTTTCTGGGTGTTGTATACATAATATTAGATCAAGGGGAGCAATGTTGTTTCTGGTTGTTGTTTACATAATATTAGATCAAGGGGAGTAATGTTGTTTTGGGTGTTGTATATATAATATTAGATCAAGGGGAGTAATGTTGTTTCCAAATGTTGTATACAGTTATTTGATCCAGACAGTATTGTTGTTTCTGGTTGTTGTAAACAGTAATTTGATCCAGAGAATGGTGCTTCTTCTCAATAAATCGAAACAATGATGTTGTATATGTCAGCATTAATTTGATCGCGACAATGGTGTGGTTCTTTTTAGTGTTGTATACATGAATTCTAGATACAAAAAGAGATGGGGGTTTTTAATGTACATAAATTTAACTTTTTAATCAGTATTGTATCGTATACAATATCGAAAATGAGTAAATACTTTTGTATGCAGAAGTAATTTTAATCTGGATCTACTTTTTCTGAAAGGTGTTCATTATATTGATTCGTCATATGTTTAATTTTATAAAGAATATTTACAGTGTATACTATACCACGAACTTAACTAGATCTATTTTGATGCCGACTTGATGTCAATCTTGATATATTTTTTTGCAAATTGTTTTAAATTATGATTGGTGATATTGTAGATTGAACAAATATAAAATGTATGATATCTTTGTAACAGATTAACACGAAGAACGGATGGATATATTAAATATAGAATACAAGACAGATCAATTACATATGTCACAGTACATAATTCGTTGAAACTAATATCGTTAATTACTTTATTCCTGTGTGTACTAATGTACTTTGTTTCTCGAAATATGCCAGTAGGTGTGAATTCGCTAATGACAATATGCCAGTAGGTGTGAATTCGCTAATGACAATATGCCAGTAGGTGTGAATTCGCTAATGACAATATGCTACTTCCACGCAGTTAACCATTTCTATAGAATCAATAAAATACACGAAATATCGCAACCTTTAACATCTCGAAAAAATATAATGATTTGCACTAAGTAAATATCTTTATTACATTTTTACAAGGGATATATAAGGGATAGTCAATTTGGTAAAAACTTATATCTTCACTGCATTTAGCTACGATACGTTTTATATCTTCATCTGTAAAGAGGTCATTTTTACAAGGGATATATAAGGGATAATCAATTTGGTAAAAACTTATATCTTCACTGCATTGAGCTACGATACATTTTATATCTTCATTTGTAAAGAGGTCACTTTAATTATTGACTACTCAAAATGATACTTTTTATTCACTGCGTTAAAAACTGTAGATTTTCAGTTTCATTTGCAGAAAAAGCGACGGTAGAATAAGTGGTGGTCTTGGTAAACCATTGCTATATACGCTAAACATTTTTTTACCTAACTACAGAATTGATATGGTTTTTCATAAGAAAATCTTACCAAATACAATCAGCAAACGGTAGAATTGCACTGAGCATTCAAAATGGCGCCCAGTGATGTTGTTAAGAGTGACGTCAAATATTACGCTACCAATTCCTGCACTTTATTGATGCAGTAAAATTTTCGTCGTTTTACTTTTTTTGAAATAATATTAAAAAATATTAATGGTTTGACATTTGAAAATCGTATATATTCCACTTATATGGCAGAATAAACCGATGTTTTAATTTTGTGCTGCACACTGCAATACTCGTATACTGTTTAAGGGTATTCAACGGGTAATCATTGAATAGGCTGGTTTTTCAATATTATCCAATATTACTGTAAATATACATACCTTTGCATATAAAGCTAGGGTCTCCTGCTTGAGCGTAGGACGTATTTGGACGAAAAAATGGGCACTTGCGCTCTACCTCCATACACGTGTCTGGACAGGGTGGGACTGGTGTGTCTCTATCGTAGTAGCACGGGTGATAGTAGTCTATATGTAATGAGCATAGCCACTTTCTATACGCAGTCTGAAAAACAGTAAAAACAAACCAAAATGTTACTTTCATTTCTATTGAAAATCAATTTAGAGATTAACACTAAGAAGCATAATTAACTTACGTACACAATTAATAAGCAACGCAATGCACCGACAAATCGGTTGTCCTCCCATCATACATTATACATAATACAAAAGACATAGATCTGCGAAAAAGTTTTTCAGCTCCTTAAACTCGAGATTTAATTTCGGTTTTTCTTCCTGTAATGGGTTATTTGTTATTTGTTTTTAATTTCAATGGTAGACGTTGTACCTGACATTTATAGATAGTTTCCTCTACTTGTAAAGGCGATACCTGATGTTAAGAGACACTTCCCCTTATTTTCCCAACTTTCATAAATGTAGTACTTTATACTTCCAGTTCTTTGCTTCTATTTTCACATTTGTCGAGATAGAAATTCACATTAGGAAAAATAGTTTTTTATATTGTAAGATTTGCAAAGGTAGTACTATATATTTCGAGTTCTTTGCCTCTATTTTTAGATTTGTCGAGGCCGTACTTTACATTCGGAAATAACTCCCAATCTTCTCAGATTTGTAAAACAAAACTCTTTATTTAGACTTAATTGCCTCTATTTTCAGATTTGTTGAGATCGTACTTATATGAAGCGATAACTCCCCCTATTTCCAGACTTGTGGGTGGGTGTTTATATATAGGTCATAAAATGTCGCAAATGGAAGTTTACTGGCGACAAGAAATATATAGGTCGAAGACATCACGTCAATCTGTTGAACCAAATCAGCGTCAAACGTCGATCGATACATCCCCCGTGACAACGCCACATAAACAAGTAGGCCAGCAGTTTGAAATCTGTATTTGATTCAAAAGCATTCTTTCTTTTTATACTGAAACGTGCGGCACATCTTATCAATGAATGCGGTTTGTGGTTATACGAAACACTTCAATACACAAACAAGAATGACGTCAACACATGCTGTAAAATATGTAATTGTATACTACGTAATCACGCAGAAACGGCTGAGAACCTGTCGTGTCGGCGAAGTTGAGCAAATCGATAGCTGTGCATGAATTTGAACACTGGTTTTATTGTAGTGTTAATCGATTTTTTTCCAAAAATAAGGAATCACAAAAATAACACATCAAAGCATGTTTTGTAAGTACATAGTTCTTTGGGACATTCACTAAACTCCACAATCCGAGAGGTTAGGAAAACAACTTTGTTTGTTGGTTTCAATGGTACGTCCTATTAACAAGAGCTATGGTCATTTAAGGACGTGCCCGGTTTTGGTGGTGGAGGAAAGCCGGAGTTCCCGGAGAAAAAACACCGACCGACGGCCAGTATATGGCAAAAATAACAAAAAACATTAATGTAAGCTGAACGGCCCTATCGGTTCCTTTTATAATTTATTTGCTTTCATTATCAAACGGTAGGATATTGCAGAGTTATTGTTATATTTTCCGGGTGCTATTAAGCATTCTGATAATATCCCAGAACTGTATTTCGGAACGAGCTGACAACTCATGATTGTTTTCGAGAAAGAAAGACAAATGTTTAATGATTGTATTTGAAAATTGATATCTTGTAATTATAATACTGACTTTTATTTGTCTATTACTTTATGTAAAGACTTTCCTAAAATGTAAAGATATAGACATTGTCATGTCAATACCGTCAAACCGGCTCTTACCCTGGACAGGGATATCCACCATTTTCTTATCCTAGGGTTCAGACACGCTACACGTGTTCTTTGCACGTTCTCAACAGTTGTATGACGTCATAGCAAAAATACCATGACGTCGGGGCAACAATACAATGACGTCATGGCAACAATACAATGACGTTACGTCGACAATTCAGCCGCATCACATCACATTGTCTTGCATTGATGTAACGTCTATATAAAATACCAAAGAGGGTAAACTGGGTAAGACAAAAATAATCATTCACCCCCTTGGGAGTGAGACAGTGTGATCTCAACCTTCTATCTCTTCTACTTAAGTTATATGAAGAATACGAGGACATTGTCACGTAGGCTTAATATTAAAACAGCGATATACACTTGATGTCACACAACAGTTTTATTGTTGACGAGACAGCATTACAAAAACAGATGCCGTACGACTTCAGATTTCTAAAACAAATCATAACAATAACAGCGACACGTTAATTTATGAGAAACCACTCCTCATTGTGTACAGGTAGTAATAACGATCCACCAATAAAACTGTCATTTTGATACGTCAAGTCACGTGCAAGATTAGTTTGAGCAGAAATATGGTCAACGATCTGTTCAGATAAACATGCACTACGGGATTTTCCGGTACAACTTTTCTCAAAGAGCACCAAGACTGTTGTTTGTTTCCAAGCATTGTTAACTAATTGTTTGGTTTAGTATTGTTTAACATCCTATCAACAGCTATGGTAATTTAAGGACGGCCTCCCCTGTGTGCAAGATGCATGCGTGTAGTGTATGCGTGTGTGTTTTGGGAGGCTGTGATATGTTCGTGTTTGACTCCTTGAGAAAGCATTATACTGACAACGGGTGAACCAAAATTGCTAAGCGTTAAGCAGGAGTAGAAACTACCATATTTACAGACTCTGGTATATGTCTCGGCCAGGGGACAGAACCCAAAGCCTTTCTCACAGGGGCGAACGCTCAACTATAGGGCAAAAGTGAGATCATTATACTGTCGTTCTAAGTAACTGCGCTACCTTATCAGCGGTAGAACTCTGGTTCAGTCGCGCTACGCTTATATCCAAAACAAAAACCTGGGTCGGTAACGGTATTTACCGGGACCTACACTCGTCACAACTCGGCTGATTCCGTACCTTCACATAAGGGTCCCGGAATGAGCCGAGGTTAGCCGAATGGAAAACCTACAGTGCAATTCTCTATTGTTTGGTCTGCAGTGGCACGGGGATCCTTAAAACAGTTGACTGATATTGACATAAGTCATCAACTACATGTTTTAATCCAATAAATTAACCAGTAGAGAAAACGTCATAATATATATTAAAAAATAATAATTTTGAATTGCCATATTAGAAAAAGTTTTCTTCCAAAATAATCCTTGTTTGATTTATATGAAAGATATGGGTAAAACATATTATATATCAATGGTGGAACTAAGATATGGGTAAAAAAAACCAATGGTAACACTACATAATTTCTTTGCCGGTTTCATCTGCAAAATTGTGATTGTAATTCGCTGTCACTAGTCCACACATGCAAGTCATTCATTAAAAGATTTTACACAAAAACATATTGACTACAGCGTGTGTTTATTTATATCTGCTTTTATATCCACAAATAGAAACCGTTCGCATGATCTTACTCAAGGTCGTCTGGGTTTGACACGATAAGGCGGTATTCAATGCTGTGGACATCGTACGTAGAAGCGATGACTCCTATAACACACCCGTCTAGACTACATATTTGGTACAAACAGTCTGTCATTGAAAGCAGTCACAGGAATTGATCACTGGAAACCTTTGGGGGAGTTCAGGCTTCAATTTATGTATTATGTTTGTTGCGATATCACAGGTTTAAGCTCCTAGACCGTTAGAAATGTATCCAATGGCTAGCCAATGATATTGTATTGTTGAACCGCTGTGATACATGTACAAGACTACAGCTACACACCATTTGAAATTGAACATTTATGTAAGATGCTGCAAAATGCAGTTCTTGAATGCTGAAACGAAAGAAAACGAACAACACCCTTTGATGGAATTTCGACAGTGAACTTAAGCCATAATTTTGATTTAATTTATTATTTGGCATGCTAACAATCTAGATATTATTGATAATCTACTATTGTTATATTATTGGTATTTCCCTCATGAACAATATTGNGTGGGGGGGGGGTGAGAAAAATATAGATAAATGTACAAATATTTAAAAATTCTGTTGGGCAAGAAATGGTGCAAGATTGCCTTCAAAAATCACGTTTGCAGAAGTATTTAGAGACAATTGAGGATACAGATGTTGAACTTCAAACAAGACAACCAACATACGTCACTGCGTCCTCAATGCTCTAGGGGTTACGCAGAGAGCGTGGTAAGCGTACACCCTGCAGTACCGAGGATTACCTTTCTGGTATTGTCCTTATCACTATCAAAGCCATTCATACTTTTGGCTGGAAATTGCCTGAAAAACCTGACCAGGTTTTATGATACTTCAGTAAACTACCATTACGTGGGTGCAAGAAGTGCAAACATTAGTCTTTATGCTATTTACTGGATGTTTGTACTAGACAGCGTGGCAAACATCTTAAATAAATCGTTTTCGTTTCACAAGAAAATAAACGAACAATTTGACGTGCTCTTTTCTTCCTTTTTCACTTTTCAAAATGCAGAGTAAAACAGAGCACAATACATCTCCAGCACACACGCAGTAATACACACATGGAGAGATATTTGCCAGGTGAAATAGGACTAGTAGTTCGTGCTTGATAAGACGGCTTCTGCAAATTCCTCAAACTTGTATTGATGAATGTATTAGTTAATGTATGTGTAAATTGTATTGATTGTATGATTTCAGTATATCTATGTATTGTAAAGCGCTTTAGAGTGGCTCATTATAGCTAGATAGCTAGGGCGCTATATCAAATGTGGTTTATTTAAATGTTGTATATGTAAATGTTGTTTATCTAAATGTTGTATATGTAAATACATGATGTAGTGAAAACGTGCTATTTATTACCCTAGTAACGGTCATATTACCATACCAGGCAACCATCGTTATCGCTGCTACCATAAAATATAATAAACAACCATATTCCAATGTTCGTATTAATTGTTTGCTGTTTATTTCATGCATGCCAAGCATGCTCAGTAATTGGTTTGCGCGGGGGTTTAACAGTTCGGATCCCGAGGGGTTCGTGCTGCGGTGTAGAACAGACATCCTCTTGTGTTTCTATGTCTGATGAGTTTCACACCTTTTGTCTTTTTGTACAAATTATTTACTTTCGTGTAGATCAATATGGTTTCCTTTAAATATACGGAG